TTATTGTATCACCAAATGCTTACTATCCAAATAATCTCTCTTTCATTTTCGATCTCGTCTGACTAGATAATCTTCATATTTTTGTGTATGAGCCCATTTTCTTGTCGGTGTTCTTGCAAGATTCTTGTTTTAGTTTGTAATTGATTTAATGGCTTTTTTTATTACAAAAATTTTGTAATTGAAATGGCAAGATTTTTCTAACGATAAAATCTAGAAATAGTGTTGTTAATTCTCTTACTATATATAACTCATATGATTATGGGGTGTCTCCGGAACATTTTTTCAAATTTCATCACATTTTTGTTGCGTTTTTATATTTCTAGTGTCAGAACGACTTACTAATTCATGTTATAAAATGAGAAAAAAAGAAAACTAACAATAAACACTCTAAAAACAAATGCGACTTAGGATCAAATTAACTCGCATTAATATGCCGTATTCTGTGAATATAAGACACACTAATGCAACTGAATTTGATTCTAAGTCGCATTTTGTTTTTTAGAGTGAACTGATCGATATTGTTGTCACAGTTCCTGGAAGATCCTTTTTATTGTAGTATTTCAGATAAGAATCTCGCTAAATAGCTTCATATATTTTTGTCTTTAGATTCTCAGTTGAAGATTTTGTCTTATGATCTCAATCAAGAATTTTGAGATAAAAGTATACACAAACTATTTAACGACATTCTTGTGTGAAATACTACAAGACAAGGATTTTACATGAACAGTGACAAAAAAAGTGGATCAGTATATTTCTTATTATAGACTAAATAAGAGTTAAACGCTAATATAATCTCTTGTAAAGAGCAGAGAATATTATTTGAAATTAGACTAATTAGTTTTCATATGACTAATACAAAAATAAATGAAATTAGAGACATTGTTGTAGTTTACTTTATTTTAGTAAAAAATATTCTAATTTTTAACTTGAGAAAATTGAAATTATCTTATTGTTTTTTAATGAAAATAATCATTGAACTATCAAAGAAGAAAGAACAATTTCTATAAGAACAACGTGAGAAAAAAAATCTGTTATTTCATACCCAACGAGTAATGCATCCGACCATCTTCTTCCTCGCATATTAATACGTTCCATAGTGTTTTTCAATTTATAAATTTACAAAAGCCAACATGAATAAATTTTTGTTATAAGAAGTAATAATAACATTATAACAATAACTCTATATACATTTGAACAATGTTGACTCTTTTGTCAAAAAGTGAATATTTCATGTGAGTCTATAATATATTATTATTTTATGTTTTCTTTTACTTTGTGTAATTGAACCATTTTTTTTTTCTTGTTATTTTGTACTCTTAAGAAGAACGTCCATATCGTTTTATAAAGATCCATGTCGTGAACACAAAATGAGGAAAAAAGAAAATGAACAGGAAAAGAGAATAAATATTTTTTGTAATGTTTAATTCTTAAAGGTTGATTGTTCAGATTTTTAAAGATCTTTTATTTGATAGATGCAGCAAAATGAAATTATTATCTTTGAATATTATGAATAAAGGAGATTGAATGATAGATAGTTTTTTCCTATTCTTCTATATTCTTTATCTTTTTTTTTTTTTTTTGTCATGTGTGTGCGTGTATGTTTTCTCAATTATTCGGCTGATCATTAGAAACTATTTATCATTTAAAGCATATTTAGACATCGCGTCTCCTGTACTAGACATGATGGTGAAAAATATTTTTCTTTTTTGTTTCGAGTGTATATATATATATATACAATAGTCAAAATTTTTCGCTAAATATGAAGAGATTCATCAAAAAACTTATCGGAATTTTTTTTTATATGGTATTGTTGAGAAGTTTATAACGACGTGATCGGCAAACAAAGAGGGATATTATATTCGATTATCGAGTATAAAATACGGCATAGATATAACAAAAAAAAATGAAAACCACTTTTAGAGAGATAAGACCTATTTTTTTGTGCAAAAAACAGAAAACAAAATATTTTCAATTTGATCAACCTTATGTAAAAAAGGCATTTGTCTACATATGTTCTTCTTCTTTCGTATTATATGTGTGTATCTCAAAAATACACCGTTATAGAAAGAAAGGAAGGAAAAAATATTGGAAAACTAATTCAGACATGCATGACACTTCCACTGCAGTTTCATTCAAGAATTGTCGACGTAGGGTGTTTATTTTAAGCTTTGCTCGTTCTCGTTTGATTATAGTGTAATAAACGTGAGGATGTCTCTGTAGTGAAAAAACAATTAAAGCTCTTGTATGTGATTTCACTAGTTGTTTCGAGTCTAATACCCTTTTTTTCTGTTAGTTTATTAGATCTACAAACACTTGTGTGATGTATCAAGTACAAGTCAAGGTCGATGGTGTTGAGAGTATAGAATTGCTAATAATATAGCAACAATGAGGAAGATGACCAAAGTTTATAGTTATATCAAATCCAACATTACCTGTCAGTGCTGTATAGTCGACAATTCAAGAAAAATAATACTTTTTTCTCACAACTTACGAGGGAACCTCCCCAAATGTACTCTCGTTTGTTTAACGAAATGTAGTGAGTTGTGGATAATCAACCATGCTGATTTCAAATATGATATTCATTTGGGCTCATAGGCCTTTCCAGCCGCTTTAAGAAAATACTAGTTCTCCAAAAATCTCAAAAAATCCTCCAAAACTTTTCTGAACAAGCCATGATTGTAGCCCCCGGGATTCTGATCAAAATGAGACATCTGCCAGCTCTACACGACCTTTCTTTGCAAAGTTAAAGAGTTTACAGGAAAAGCCCTAAATGTTTATTGTCACTTCAGAGCTATAGAAAGAAAATGGAAAAATGAATTTCTAAATTCATTTGCCCAGAAGGACTTTTCCTGTAAACTCTTTAACTTTGCAAAGAAAGGTTGTGTAGAGCTGGCAGATGTCTCATTTTGATCAGAATTCCGCAGGCTACAATCATGACTTATTAAGAAAAGTTTTGGAGATTTTTCGAGGTTTCTGGAGAACTGGTTTTCCAGAAATCGGCTAGGAAAGGCCTATAAGTCCAAATGAATATCATATTCGAAATTAGCATGGTCGATTACCTACAATCCACTACATTTCGTTAAAAAACTTGCTTTTCTCTCTCTTTGCTGAAACAAAAGAATGATGAAAAAAATGTATAAGTATTAGCTCCAAAAAGCAGCAATCAGTGCCATTTTATGTTTAACTCTTAATTGATTATACTAAAGCTTTGTTGCTAGGTATGGTTTTCCAGAGATCTTTTAAAATATCAATTTTGGAAAAAAAATTGTAACAGTTAACAATAGAGTCTTGCGATCTTCGTCATTTGATAGTCACAACTTGGAACCGTTTTTTTATATTAAGAAGAGTTCAAAAATCATTGTCGAATGTTCAAAAGATACACTTCTTTATGAATTCAAAAAACAATCATCATCCTTCTATTTTGAAATACACAGTAGTATGATAATCCACACTGTGTTTGATTTGTTCTGCAGTTTTAGCTACTGACAGACGAGTAAGACAAAATTCGACAGATAACTAGACTCAAGAACAATAATAAATACTTGTATAAAAACTTAACAATCTCACAAAAAACGTTTCGCTCAGTTTTTTCAGACGAAAGATAAAATATTTAAGTTACTGCAAGCTGATATGTTTTAGATTTGTTGAATATTATGCTTTTAAAAAACTTTTAAAAATCTGTTCAAGGTGTGTCTCCATCAGTTTCTTACAATGACGGCATTATTAGCATAAGCTTACGACTCGTTATCAGTTTACAAGCTAATTAATCTGTCATTTTTTTCCACTTCCATTTTGTAAGTTAACTAATTCAGAAAAATATATAGACTTTTTTTGTTCTAACAACACCATAATCAACACCAGAAGAATTAGCACAATTAAAAAAACCAAGTGTTAAAAAATTAAACAAAAGCGTTGAGAGAAACTAATTTTAAACTTTTTTTTTACCAACTTCAAAAATATACTTATATACCTATGCATCTCATACGGAAAAAATAATATTCAAACTCTCTGTTATCAATAGTTAATTCTGTCTTGTCTGTACACAAATCGAAATCAGATACTTCATCCTACTTTCGTCGTTTTATTAACACCACTACCGAACAATTACTCGGCAGTCCACAATCATGTGAAGCAAAAAATGATTGATGATCTAACACAACCTAAATGTCCATAGCATGAAGGTAGNTTATCTATCGAGAAATAATTGAATGACAATTTGTGAATGAAGTAGGTGTTATATGCAAAATTTTAACTTCCACTATCTAAAGAACATATGCATTCCACTTTATGCCTAAGAATGATGAAACTTTCTCTGTTTGATGTAAAAACATAGCGACCTTGTTATAACTTTCATCTTGAATATGAATAGACTCTTATTGTGTGATTGAAATAATGATAAATATTTAATTAGAATAAACGTAAAATGGAGCTTTTATAAAAAAAAAGGGCTATTTTTTTATCATAGAGAGAGAGAGAGAGACAGATGATGATGAAAAGTGTAAAATTCCAATATTTTCTTTTTAATTTAAAAGTCGTGAAACTTTACAATTAAAATGGTAATAATTACCAATTTTGAAACTATCCGTATCTATGTTTTACAAACATATGGGAGCCTGTGCTTCACTAGATAAACTGATCTAAATAACGTAAAATTTTAGGACTAGTTTGTTATTTTATCCTTCCCAAAATATGTCGAAACACTATCACCAGCATACTTTAGAAAATCCTCGAATAAATCGATCAACAAGTAATACTAGCTTAATATTATCATTGCATGATATTTTATCGTTTAAATACTTCGTTTTAAATGAGTGTGCCACTTGGGAAGAGGTTCTGCCACGATACGATACGAAAAGAAATTCTATTTTCCCCTGCTAATCAAAGGTTAAATTCTTTCATAAATAAATATAAAATATAAAACATGTTTTTATTCATATTCATAGTGTAACATGCATATATGATGATCGTTTATAGCAATAATTTTGGTGACTTAACGTACATCAACTACCTTCATGCAATGGACATTTAGGTTGTGTTAGATCATCAATCATTTTTGCTTCACATGATTGTGGACTGCCGAGTAATTGTTCGGTAGTAAATATAATTTCATGTCCTTTTCTAGCAATAGCATCCGCTCCGTATTTTTTCTCGATTTCATCTCGAAAATCTTTGACTGGTTTCAATGATTTAAACAATGATGTTTGCCGATATATTTCATATATTCCACTTTTTGTGGCATTTTGTCTAAATTCATTGAATTTTTCTTTAATCGATGATATTGTTGACAATATTTGATTCCATTTGCTTGTGAGTGTTGCATCGGTATTTTCACGAAATGCTGCATCTTTTGAACAAATTGGTGTACTGATAAATTTTTTTAATCGACATAGTACACGACGAGACATATGTTGAATATAATTAGTAGAATGTCTAATATAATGTTTAAATTTTTGTATACCAAATTCTTCTGGTTTGATATAAATACGATCACCTGAATAGGGTATACTATTATTGTCATATAATGGTTTTAATTCACCAAACAATATGTGACCAAATCGATTCGGTAGACAACCGTGTGTTATATCCATTCCATAGGCTGGATACTTTGTATTTCGAAGTTTTTTTGAACCACGTTCACGAAAATGTGAGGATTCATCACCACGAACGTAGATAAATGCATCTGGAATAGATTTATTTAATTCTTTACTTTTAAATATGGATTTGATAGGATGCAATGCAAATTGTTTTAATCGATTTAAGTAGCCAGTTTGATGCTCATCACTATGTTTTTGTGTATTTTTAGCTTGCATCAGACGTTTAAAAAGTTGTTTTGATGAATCATATAAAACAAACATACCTAAATAAATATAAGATTCATTGATGATTAAGTGATCTATTAGTTTCTTTGAGTACTTAGGGATGTATGAATGTGTACCTTTTGAAAAATGTATTTTCTTTCGATTTAGTACCGCTTCTTGCATAAAAAAATGAATAAGATTACACATATTTTGTTCATTAACATTTTTAAATGATTGGTTATCTTTAATTAAACTTTCAAAAAATGCTCGTCCTAAATTTGATCGTGTTGCATTGATATTTAATTTAGACATAACACAACAATTATCCTGCTTATTCTTCGATGACGATAACAGAAAACCATCGGTCCAAACCATTGTTAAAACCCCAAAATAGATTATCGCTAGATACATCATCGTTCTGCGTTGTTTTTAATAAAATGAAATGAAACAACACAAGGTTCTTATATAACTGATACGCGTTATCATTCATAGAGTGGTGATCGAATGTCACGAGTGTAGTACCAAACCCCATCGTCAGGGTACACATTCCAACTATAAGCAAATATTTCTTCACTTTTCTCTTTCAAGGTACGAACTAACAATATGAATTGTTTCTTCTTTCAATATTAAATCTGCATGAATAAAATAGAAGTAGACGTATCAGGAATGATTCAACGATGATCAACAGGTTTACAGGATTGACTTACCGAGGATTTACTTTCCAATGATTTTTCCTTATTTTAATTAGTTTTTTCCTACAGAAAAGGAGAGATAGATGTATTTTTTGCTATAATGGATTTATTTTCTAATAATTAGATAAAATATGTGTACTAATTAAGCAGTCTGATGTATAGAGATTTCCCATTGATTGGGAAAAGGTATACAAGTAATTTATTAGTCGACGTACGTGAGAACCATACACAGCCAAAAATGAACAGAGATATAGGAACAAAAAAATCAGCTTTTGGAAGGATATTGAATGTATCTCATATCAGCAGCCCTTAAATCTCTCCTTTTCTGTAGGAAAAAACTAATTAAAATAATAATTGGTCCTCGGAAAGTAAATCGTATTGATATTCCAGTTTTCTTAAGGGCTGCTGGTTAAGGAAAGCTGAAATATCAATACGATTTACTTTCCGGGGACCAATTTTTATTTTAATTAGTTTTTTCCTACAGAAAAGGAGAGATTTAAGGGCTGCTGGTATGAGATACATTCAATGTTTGAGTGAATGGAAATGAGTACTATTCAGTATATTCTGTTGCTAAATTGGTGACAAATGCTGGAAATCCGAGTAATACTCATAATCTTTGAGTGAATTTAAGTAATTATCAGAGTGAGGATGTTTGTTATAACTTATATGAAGGTCAGATAAATCATTAACGACTAACTAATTAATTATCTGGAAGGCCGTCATTCAATAATGAAAAAACATCTAAATTTATCACATTCAAAGATAAAGTAAGGGTATCAATTTTTTTGATCACAAAACATAACGGGTGGCGCAGAAATAATGGGGCACTTTTGTTTTCTACCTTTGAGGTACTTAACAATCGTTTTAAAACCTGGTTCTGAGCTCATTCAATAGAGAATTCATTTTTGTACAAAACTGTCGAATGCGTTTTTCAAATTAGTCTTTCTTGTGGGCGCAAAATTTCAAAGATTAACACCTATCAATCGATTGGTTTAAGCATGTGTTCATCAAAACCGATGCTCAAACTAAAGTATTTAACATCAATAGATAGAGACTATTGTGCTCTATACTTCCACGACCTTTTCAAGGTTAGCGATAAAACATGTATTCAACCATTAGGAAAACGAAAAGCAAAAGGGCGTCCCAAGAAAGTTAGCACAGCTTTATTATTCATTTGGTTAAAATCTCGATGAATATGTTTGTGTTGTATACATTATACTTTGTTGAGAAATAAAAATGTGAGATGCATGCTGAACAAAAATTTGGTGATCAAAAGTATCTTTTTGTGATGATCATTTGTATCTAAGGTGTTTGGTGATCAAAAGTATCTTTTTGTGATGATCATTTGTATCTAAGGTGTTTGGTGATCAAAAGTAAGTTACATTTACTCATAAAGTAAAGTATATTTAATAGGAGAAAAATAGCTCAAGAACAAAAAAAGTGTTAGATTACAATAGTTTTTCACTAATATTCAGTCTTTTGTTAAAGCTACCCCTTCTTATCCCAAGTGTGGAACTTTACGATGATTCCATTTTCTACAACATACTGTTCCATTTCCCATTATCAAGTCTGTGTTTTAATTTGTATAAATTGATGAACTTTTTTTCATCATATACAAATCGATCCTATGCTCAAATAACTATATAAGTCTGCATGCATGTTCCATCAGTACATTCTCAAGTAAACCTGTTCTTTCATAATGTCTCGCCGAACTTTGCACGAATATTTCTCTTCTACTTCTGAAAGTGATATCAAATCTAGAGAATTATTTTTCTCCGATTAAATATACTTTACTACTGACAAAATTAATTACCGAGCTCATTTCTCTCTTTTTACCGACGTAAATAAAATGGTGTCCTCTCGAATCGTCCCTAATTGATTTCTCAATTCGTCCCTCGTAAATTTTATTCTCAATCCGTCCCTTAAAATTTCTTTCTTGATTCGTCCCTTCTCGATTCGTCCCCCAAATGCACGCATAGGCTAAATTATTCTTTAAAAATTATTATTATTAAATTATTAATTAATTAATATTAATTAAATTATTATCTAAATTATTTTTATTATTTTAAGGGACGAATTGAGAATAAAAATTTACGAGAAACGAATTGAGAAATCAATTAGGGACGAATCGAGGCTAAATCAATAAAATATACAGAGCTCATTTGTATCTTTTCAGAGTATAAATTAATTTCCGAGCTCAAATATCTCTTTTTTCCTAGGTCATTTATTATTTTATCCAAAAAATTTAACTGAGACCGTAGAGCGTCTATATTTAATTAAAACCATCGTTACTAATGTCTATTTTATGATACTCAATAGCTCAATTTTCAGTGAGAGTGTATATTTTATTTTTTCATGTGATGATGATGATTTATTGGGTGAGAAATGCCCGACCTGTTGCACTACAATGTAGATAAAATGAAAATTCTATAAAAGAAGTATCAAAAGGTTGTGAGAAGAAAAGTTTGTGTACAGCAAATACAAATTAAAGAATATGCTGCTCTCGCTCGTTAGACACAAATATATTTTTAGACTATAACTCTAAAAGTCTGCATACATTGGTTTTTATAGGATTCAACCGCAGGCGGAAAGAATTTGTTTCAAATTTACAATCATGTATAAAATATAGGTTGACAATGAAAATAACAAGTTCATTGATTACAGTAACTTGTTTTATGAAAGAGGAAGTTAGTTTAAAAATACGTTTAGTTAAAAATTCAGTTGAAGATAGTATGTGAACATCGAGAGCAGAAAATTATGGCGGTAAGCGGTAACAGATTTTCAACGTCACACTCTCTACACGTTGAAATTTAGCCCAACTACAGTGCGAGATACACAGAAGAGTTGGAAAAGAGTATGTTAAGAGAGGAAGAACGAATGTATTGAACAGAAACACAGCGGTGGGAGGGTAAAGTCTCCGACGCCTTCCACACACACTTTTTAATGTACCGAGTCTCTTTCAGGCACATGGATACACGTCATCCACATGAAGAGAGAGTGACATGCAGTGGTCCAAAATAAATACTAGATATTTAAAATTTTTAACGTGCTCTAATACATGGTTATTCATCAACAGATTCAATTTTACGTTTCTGTCAGCTGTACATTTCTTAAAAAACATGCATACAAGTTTAGCATAATTTATTTGAAGACGCCAAAGTTTATAATATTCACAAAGTTTAAAAAGTTCTAATTATATTTTTTCATGTTTGTCTATCCGCTACAAAAGTATGTACATGACGGATGATCTTTCATAACGAAATAGCCCAAAGTTTAGTCGCAAGTTTGAATTGATATATGTGGTTGTTTTCGGAATGCGAAAATGGATTTCCTTCATCCCCAACAAACATATCCATTTTGTGTCCCTATGATTATTGGAGGGGAACGTCTGTACGAATTTGAATCTTACAGAAATGAGATAATTCCCCAAAACAGAACTCTATCCTAAGCCGCATATGTAGATAGTCATCTTAGTGAACTTTCAGATGATCTGGCCAGGAACGAAAAATGTACGGGTGAGCCGATCATAAAGTCTCGGCTCTACTTTTTTCTGAAAATTTTGAGACGTTTTCAGATAGCAATGTCTTTTTATTTTGCCATATCAATTAGAGTATAAGACGAATGCACTTCAGGTTATTATGCGTTCTTATCACAGTTCTCTTTTTAGCTCGAGAGAAAAAATATTTTTAAAAAGTTAATGGGAAGAGTTTTTATTCTTTTAAAAATTTTGTTTAAGTAATCCCACACAATTTTAATTCTGAACTAATTTTTCCATTCTTTTCTTCCCTTGTTGTTTGATAGAGTGAACTAGTGTACATGTTAAATGGTAAAGAGCAACCTCACTAAAAAGAAAGAGAGCGAAGCACTCTGATAGATCAAGCATTCAAAGAGTGAATATTTGAAAGGAGAAAAACTCAGTTTTTAACAGAATAAGACAAATCTCTTTTCAGCTCTGAAAAACAATGTTTTAAGGAAGAAATCTTTGTACATAAGTAACTTGATGCACTCTGTAATGTAAATGTGCAATGTATATAGCAGATCTTTAACCCTTTCAGGACCGGGTTAATTTTTATATAAAAAGTGCTGTTCAAAAGTTGAAGACCTTTTTTATTTTGCAATATCTCGGCTTCCCTGACAGATAGAGACTTCATCCTTTTGTCAAAAGAAA